ACACCTATACCCTAAACCCTAAACCCTAAACCCTATTCTAGTGCGGAAGGCCCCGTACTACACCCCCCCAGCCCGAATCCTTCCTGCCTCAAGCCCCTTGCACCCGACGCGGCCCCAAAAACTAAAGCCCTCGAAGTCCCAAGCCCGGACATCCTCAACCCCCCAAGACCCCTTAAGACCCAAAGCCCTATGAACATCTAAGAACCCAAGACTAAGACTGACCCCAAAATTGGGAGTTTCCGAAAATTAGGGGTACATGATTTTGGGGTAGCGATAATAAGAATCCTACTATTTGGGGTACTATATTAGGGTCCCCTATTTTCGGAAACCCCAAATCTGTAAAGCCCCCCCAAAAAAAATTCTTGGGCCTTCAGCCCGAGATCGTGGCACGTTAAGCCCGGAACACATGCATGTTTGGGGTTTGGGGGTTTGGGGTTTAGGGTTTAGCGCTATCTGGATAACACTCGGTACACAGGCAGGGGGACAGAAAAAGGGTAGGACCAGAACGACAAGCAAGCTGCAAAAAGGAACCGCTAATCTTCCGAATCCCTTATGCGACCCTTTTTCAGTCCTTAGGGAAACATCTTACATACACATGCTTTATGAAGTTAAAAGTGGTCGCGGCTGTTTGTTTAAGGGGCAACACAGCCACAAGATCCCCAATTGAATCGCTGGATCCGGAACCGGATTTAGGTTTAGGGTTTAAGCTTTAGGTTAGGGTTCCGGGTTTGGGGTTCCGGGTTCAGGGTTCAGGGTCCCGGAACCCTAAACCCTAAACCCTAAATACGGTTTAGGGCTGAGGTCCAACTTCGCCGAGCATCCTGGCGCCACAACGAAAGGCCTCAGGACAAGTCAAGGCTCAGGTAAGGGCTCCTTTTAGGGTTTAGGGTTTAGGGTTTAGGGTTTAGGGTTTAGGGTGCTCCTTTTATAGGGTAATGTAGGAGCCTTTAATTGGAATAGGGTTTTGGGGCCTATTATACTAGAACTATAATGAGGAACCCCCCAAAATAGTATCAGCTAATAATTTAGGCCCCTATAGTATGTGTACTTGGAGGGTCGGTGGACTTAGTAAATGGTTATTTAATAGACTTATAAGTACTCTAACCCCAATTAGGGTTCCTTTTTCGGGTACTTATAAGTCTACTTATTACCTATTTACTAAGTCTCCCGACCCTCCAAGTACCGAGGCTAGAGGGCTGACAACCAGGATTCCTCGAAGAGTTTGCATTTTTGTCTGCTTTCGCCATCTTTGCTGGGGCTGAGAGTTGGGGTTCAGGGACCCACCCGAAACTGCAGAACCTCATACCCTAAACCTAAACCTTAAACCCAAAACCCCAAACCCTAAACCTTAAAAAAACTAATATTCCCAACTTGGGATTCACGGCGCAGAGTTTCGGAATTTCGGTTTGGGGGTTCAACTTTAGGAATTCCGAACTTGTGATCCAAAGCTGCGGTTTCGGGTGTTCCGGAGATAGGTGAGTTAAGAATGTTTAGGGTTTTTAGGATTTAGGAAGAAGGGATTTGCGGGCAAGCTTCGGCCGTTCGTGGTCGAGCCCCGAAAGCCTAAATCCGAAACCTTAAATCCAAGTGCCTCGACTTCAACTCCCTTCTTCAGGGTCGCAAGTTAGAAGTATGGGCCCCTAACATGGACCCTCTAGGCTTTTCTAGGGACCCTTATTCGTACATTACATATAGGGTATATAGTAGGTGTAAAAGGATCCCAGGGTTCAGGGCCCAGACTAGAGACCCATGGTTTCAACCTTAGACATAGAGGTCTTGAAGAAGTTGTAATAATCTTCCCTTCTGCTCCCTGTAGAACAGCTGTCTAACATGTCACAAGACCCCTCGCTGGTTATTGAGGCTCCTAGATCACGGATCAGGGTTTAAGAAAATCAGGTTTGAATCCTACACCCTTCTAGGCTTCAATGCTTAGGGCTTTGGGCTTCGGGCGTTTCGGGATGGAGGTAAAGGGTTGGGATGCAGGGGTTGGCAGAAGGCTGCAGACGGTTCAGGTTTCCAGGCCTGCATGGAAACGGGGCTTTAAGCGAGGACCAAAGAATCAGACGGCAAGCTGACTTCTGGCAAGTGGTGACCGAAAAGATGGGGATTTCTCGTGAAGTTGACCATAGAGACGAATATTGCAATGTATTCAGGAAGCCCAAATCGAATAGGAAGGTGCGTGTCGGCGACTAGCACAACTATGCCACTATGCTTTTCTTCTGTGCAGAAAACTTGTCTGACGTGGTCTGACTTCTGCAGAGCATAAAAAGACTATGTGAGTCCACCATTACCGAAAATCTTCAAGATGGAGCAGTGGCAGCTGCGACTGCAACCGCTTCAGTGTCGCCGCGGTACTTACAGTCGAGGATACAAAACAGTTGCGGTCCGGAAAAATGTCTTTGCCGGCTATATCTGCGAAGCTGCAAATCTTGAAATCGGATTGAAGTTGTTTTGCGAAAGCATTACCAGAAGCGTCTGAGATCTGGTTGTCGCGAAGGTCAACGAACTCCAGATTGCGGGAGTCTCCCAGCACTGCTCCGAGAGCTGTTGCGCTTGCATCCCCAATGCCGTTGCGCCGAAACGAAACATGTGACAAGCGATACATCTGCTTCAATGCTGCTGCTACTGTCAAGGTACCTCGGTCTCCAAGCGCACAACCGTCAATTCCAACTTGGGTCAGATGCTCCATCTCATGAAGAGCCTTCGCCAAAGCCACAGCTCCCGTCTCCCCTACCGAGCTGTCCACAAGACATAGCACCCTCAAGACCTCAAAGCACGGCAAAGAATCGCCAAGAACCTTCACTTCCAGCCAAGGCAAGTTTTTTGCCACAAGCACCTTACGCCCTGTAGCTTGCAACTCGAAAACTTCTTCTTGCAGTTGCTCCACGAGCTCGGAGTCAGAACGGTGAGTGAACTTTAGCACCAAGGCGTCTGAAGACTGCGCTTCCCCTTGCTTGACACGCTCTTGAAATGTAGCTGGGCTCATTGGCGCAAAGTGAGACACGTGCACTTTCGTGCTGGCCCATTGAACTTCTGCGACACACCAACCTCGCTGGAAGTACGGCGTGTTGTTCAACACTAATTCACTAAAGGGCCGAGCCTCAAACTTGCCGGTGTCCTTGCAGTAGATATCGATGAGGCTGGGAGGCTGCTGTCTCTCAATCTCAGGTGTGAGGTCAGCAACGCGCTCTACCCAAGCCACCGCTTTGTGCGCGTAAAGCACGAACATTGACTCCATCGCATGCTGGAAATGCTGCTGCTGAGCAGTAGTGCGCTCGTACTGAGGCAAACTTATCCAGTCCATAAAGACCCAAATCTCGAAACCAGCTTGCACGGGTGCTGTGAGCCTGTCTGCCAATTGGCGCAGTTGGAAGCCCCAGGGATCTGCGTGCTGCTGCGACTCCCAGCAATGTGACACAGAGACAATGAGGATTCGCTTGGATCTCGCGCTCGAAGTATAGAAGTAGCCATCAACTATGGCCGGGAACGGTCCACGAACAGGTCCTGGAAAGTATTGCAGACTTTTCATTTCCTCTGTCGTCACTAATGCAGTGCGGGAACTTCCATGCATATCCTCGAACTTCTCTAGCTCTGCTTCTTGGCGACGGGGGCAAAGCAGCCTGCTTCGTGCAAGCTTTAGCAAGTATTCAGCACGCACCAGTCGGATGTCAGCATCAATCAAGAAGCCGACGAGGGAACTGGGCCATTTCAAGTCATACTTCTTGCCGCTGCAGTCGAGGTGGCCAGGAGACGACTTCATAAGCCCATTGCCCTCGGATGCTAGGCCTGTTCAGAACACAACGCAGACATAGCGAATTGGCCAGGCTTGGAAAGGAGTGATACAATCTAGACTGGTCTAAACATCACAGGGTCGGCTTGAAAACGCTGAGACATAACAGGAGGCAACGAGCACTGCCCAATTCACCAACATCCCAGTCCTCCTGAAACCAGGTCATCGCGTTTTGCAGCGCTGGAAAACCTCTGGTGCCTGCAAGAAGCCTCCAGAAGCCGAATCCTAGAAGTCCTACCACCCACACACAGAGACACACACACACACATGCGCGCGCGCATGACCATGGAGAGAACACAATGCAAAAAGGGCCTCTTTTCTTTTCTGATCAAGGCTGCATTCTTTGGCAGCCGCCGGGTGCCACATAGGGGCTTGAAGCGTTCGGGATCGAGTCTCAGAGTTTAGGGTTTAGGGTTTAGGGTTTAGGTTTTGGGGTTTAGGGTTTAGGGTTTAGGGTTTAGTGTGGTTTTTCGATTCAGGGACGGGCACGGGGCATGCTAACCCCAAACCCTAAATGCCCTAAACCTCTATGTACTTTGACTAGAGCGACACAGATCCTGAAAAGGCTAATTACTCGGTCGTCACTGGTCTTGTAGAGCTCAAGAGGAAGCTCGTGGCCTGGACAGCATCACTGATCTCGCGCTAGCTGCTGGCTGACTATCTTACATTATGTTACGGTTATGCTATATTGTATTCTATATATTGAGTGAAAATTGTGCTGCATCATCTTTTGCGTTGTATTATGTTACATTCTACCCTACTATGTTGTGTTATATTGTATGGTGGTCTTGCCAATGTTGCACATAAGCTGTTGGTATAAGGGTTATTCACAGGGTTCCTGCATAAGGAGCAGCGCTCGTTACTTTGTTTATTCTCATTCTCCGCTGCTTGACATGTCTGTAGATGGGCTACGGTGCCTTCGCCTGGGCGGTATTCTGCTACTGCTGCTGTTGACCGGCACCCTCAAACTGCACACTATTGACCCTAGACCCTGAACCCTAAACCCTAAACCCTAAACCCTGAACCCTAACCCTAAACCTGCAGCGCCCTCGAACTCTGCAGCCCCCCACCTTCAACTGCAGAGCCCGAAAAGCAGAAGAGCTAAAGCACAAAATCTTCGAGAAAGCCAGGGGTTTTCGGACTTTAGGACTTTAGGGTTTTAGGGTTTTAGGGTTTTTACAGGGTTTTGAACTCTCAGAGGCCGAGAGAAAAAAGAAGCCTAGCAGCTCCCACAGCCTCGGAAGCAAAAAAGCCTCAACCCGTGCCACCGTCTCTGCACCCAACTCCTTAAAATCTTTGGGTAGTTCTCTAAATTTGGGCCCCTTTTTGGTCCCCAATATAGTACGGCAGCCTTATAAAAGGGGACCCCAAAAGGAACCCTAATTTAGAGAACTACCCATATTGCAACCCTAAACCCTAAACCCTATATTGCAACATGAAGCCTAAGATTTGGGATGCCTTCAACCACTGCCGCTCTGGGTGTCGGCGTTCACCCGAAGTTGCTGGTGTGCAGATCTCAATACTGCCGTTGCCTCACGGAGGCCACTGGTCTGGATGGGCTTCCGGGTTTGGGGATTCAGGGTTTGAGGGTTGAAGGGTTCAAGGGTTTTGGGTTTAGGGTTTAGGGCTTAGGGTTCATGGTTTAAAGTTAAGAGTTCAGGGTTTGAGGTTCAGGGTTTAGGGTTTAGGGTTTGAGGTTTAGGGTTTGGGGTTTAGAGTGTAGGGCTTAGGGTCTAGGGTTTAGGGTTTTGGGTTTAGGATTTTGGGTTGAGGGGCTGTCGGGCTCAGGGCATATCTTCTCGCGGCTATCCCGCAGTTCACTGCACGCAATGGTAGATCGGGGGTGTCTGCTTCAAGCTGCCAACCGAGCAATGTACTGGTTTAGGTTTTAGGGTAGGGTCTAGGGTTTAGGGTTTAGGGTTTAGGGTTTGGGGTTTAGGGTTTAGGGTTTCGGGTTTAGGGTTTAGGGTTTAGGGAGGTGGTATTGGGAACCGATAACCAAAGAACCCGCGCACCGTAGTCTAACACCTAAACCTTCAGGCTCAGCAACATTAAAGCCCAGGGCCGTCACTCTCTGCAACCGACGCCATAGGCCTGCAACAATCCCAAAATGAAGGAGTGGACCTTGAATCATAAGGGCTCCATTATTGTTTACGGTTTATTCTTATAGTTCTCTCTTAGAGACCCTAAACCCTAAACCCTAAACCCTAGACCCTTATAGATCCATTGAAGGAACCGTTTGAGGTACGTTCCTTAATGCAGGGACTTTGGAAGGTCGACAGACATCCTAACATAGGAGCCTAGATAATTACCTATGCTATTATTTTTTTTGGGAGGGGGGGTGCCTTATTGGGGGGTTTAGGGTTTAGGGCTTAGGGCTTTAGGTTTTAGGGTCTAGGGGTTAGAGTTTAAGGTTAAGGGTTGTGGGAATGCCTTATTATAGTAGCAGAATCTACCCCAGAACCCTGTTCTAGTTGTTAAGGCCCCTACATGATAGCACCCTGTAAAGAAGCCGACCTACCTTAACCAGAATATTGGTAATCTTACTTCCATAAGAAGCCACAGAAACAAAAGGTTAAACGTTCCGACTACTACTAAACTATAAGAGCCCAAAAAGTTTAAAGGTTGCGCATTGGGGAACTTAGTAATTATTAAGGCCCCTACAGTAGACCCACGGGCCGATCCAAAGAGCAACTCAATTTATCACGCAGAGCCCCTTCAAAAAGGGCTCCCGTTCCTTACGGGTTCCATTAAGAGTTCGTTTAAAGGTTTTCTTGAGGGCTCCTTTCAAGGGCTCCTGTTCCTCTAAGTTAAAGGAAACTACAGGTGGGGAGTTTAGGGTATATAGGGCTTCTATTTGGCTTCTATAAGGTATATAGACCTTATATACGGCTGGTAAGGGTTTTCTTTAGGGTTCCGTTTACCTTGAAGGGTTCGTGGTTGGTAGGGATTGTAAAGTAGCCTTGGCAAGTAGAATATGTTTTGTACATCGATAAGTATGCCTAAAGACACGAATTGTACTGGTAATCTTCATGAGTTCATAGCACACAACTCTGATGCCAGAATAAGTCGTTAGTTCTTCCTGCGGCCCTGAAACCCTCATAAGCCCTAAACCCCTAGACTCTAAACCCCTAAACCCTAAACCTTAACCCCTAAAACCCTAAACCCCTAAACCTCTAAACCCCTAAACCCTTAAACCCCACAAACCCTGAACCCCAAAAGAGGAGCTGTCAGCTATGCTTCAGCCG